GGCCCGGGCCGGCGCAGCGGCGGTGCCAGCGCGAGAACTGCGCGTTCTACGGGCGCGCGGAGACCGAGCACTACTGCTCCTACTGCTACCGCGAGGAGCTGCGGCGCCGGCGCGAGACGCGCGGGGCCCGGCCCTGAGCGCCCCCCCCGCCACGATCCCCCCCTCTCTCTTTCTTTTCTCCCCCCCTCCCCACCCCCCCATTCTGTCGGTGTGTCTTTTTTACATGCCCAGGTCCACCGAAAAGGCCGGCGCCTCCTCCTTGTCAGTGCCCCGTGTACGTGTTTGGTAAACGTTCCTAATGGTGCCTGAACCTACACTGACGCCACTCAGGTAGTAGACGGATAGGAAATAAGTCATACTGTTGGAAAGTGGGTTTGCTAGTCTAGCATCTGCCTCGTACCTGTGGAAACTCAACAGCCATTGCAAGAGTATTTTTGTTCCTCTATACGAGAAAAATAAAGAAATTCGCAGCCCTTTGTTTTTAGAAGGGAGTGTTTTACATGCTTTTATTTTTTTTTCCTTTTTTTCCCCCTTCTTCTTTCCTTTTCTTCTTCCGACCTCTGCCAGACAGTGATCCCCGCGCGTGCGTTTTGGTTAGCACCCAGCGGGGGAGGGTGGGGAGGCCCCAACGCGCAAGCGCAGCTCCGGCTGGGGCGGAGCCTCTGCCAGCTGTGTTCCCCCCCCCCCATACACACACACACACGGACGTCCAGACAGACAGACAGACACCTGAACCGGGCAGGACGCGCGCGTGCGCACTGTGGCCCTTTAGGATGACACCACTTCATTCCATAAGCAAAAATAAATAAATAAAACCTCCCTTGCCACACACACACAGAGCACCCCCACCCCCGGCTCGAACCCCATTCACACACTGCCATCCCAGCCCTGGTAGAACAGGCACCGGACAACCTACCTCGCAGGGCGTGGTGAGGTGGAGGCCACCCATCCCGGCCTCCAAAGCGACACCGGGGGTCCCCAGAGCCAGGTTTGCAACTCCTGATGCGGATGGGCACCCCCCCCACACACCCCGGGGAGCAAACACGCCATCCTGCCCCCATTCCTCCTGCCAAGACACCCCACAGTGGACCCGTGTCGGCTGGGGGGCCCCCCGTAGGGAGTGGAATCACATGGACCCCCCCCCAACCCCAGCAGAGAAAAGGGCCTGAACCCCCACTAGGCAGCTTTGAACCTGGCCGGGGCCACACACACACACCCCAAATTTCCAAAAGCTAAGGGCTGAAGGAAGGAAGTAACCCCACACCTCCACCACATCTGGGTTCAGCCAGGTAAAGGGGCTCCCTGCGAACGAGGGGGGTCGCCTCCTCCACCGGGCAGGGAGGCGCGGCCCTCCGGCTCCCCCACCCCAGGGAAGGGGGGCAGCCTGGTCACTGTTTTGTTGTTTTTGTTTTTTTGTTTTTGGTGCCTCCTATACTTCCTGAGGAAAATCAAAACCAGAGACTGTGTCCTTAGCTCCCTTGTTTTGAACAGCAATATTCAGCCTCTTCCTACCAATTACCTCTGGAGACTTCCAACCTTGGCCAAGAACCACGCGGACCCGTCCCGCCTCCCTAAGGGAAGAGGGAAGGATGCTGGCACACCTTTAGATCAGTGCCCCTGAAATCCTCAGAAAGGAGAAGGCGCCTGGCTTCCCTCGGGTCCGGGTCCGCGTATCCTCAGAGAATTCAGAAAGTGGGTCCCCTCTTTCACCCAGCTGAACTGAGCCGGACTCTCCGGAAACAAGGCTTCCTCTCCCTCCCCCCCCCACCCCCTTTCCAACATAAAGAGCAGCAAAAGCAAAAAAGTTTAAAACTTAAAAAAAAAAAAAGATGGGGAGGGGATTTTTTTTTTACTTACTTGGCAAACTATAATAAAATAACTGATTATCTCCTTGTGTAATTCCTCTTTGTGGTGGTGTTTGTTTTTGCTGTGGTTGGTCACTATTGCACAGCCCGGGGAGTGTGCCATAATTGAATCGAGTTTTGCTTACGTGGGTTCTTCAATGAAAATTATGTGTGGAATGGAATCTTGAAGAAATAGTTTCAAGGTTGTACTTCCCGTGCCAAACAAGATAGTTTTGATGTGTGATGATTGCTAATATTCATATCCCTAATTAGGACCAGTGGGGGTTTTTTTGGGGGGAGGGGAGTTGTTACTAAAGGGGGAAAAGTCATTTAGAAAACATCTCTCATCAAGAGGATCTGTGGCAGCTGTATTTGGACTGGTTCTTTTGATGTGTGTGTGAGAGACAATGCTAGGGCTTGAACTCACGACCTAGACACTGTTCCTAAGGGGTTTTTGATGTTGTTACTTGTTTTTTTTTTTTGCTCAAGGCTAACACTCTACCACCTGAGCCACAGCTCCGCATCTGGCTTTTTCAGTGGTTAACGAGATAAGAGGCTCTGGAATGTGTGTGCAGTGGCTGTCTTCCATCCACCATCTTCAGATCTCAAGGCCTCCTGAGTAGTTAGGATTACAGGCATGAGCCACCAGCACCAGCTGGACAGATTTTTGTTTTGGTTTTGTCCTGGGGCTTGAACTCAGGGCCTGGGCACTGTCCCGGAGCATTTTTGCTCAAGGCTAGCATCCTTCCACTTTGAGCCACAGCACCACTCCTAGTTTTCTGGTGGTTCATTGGAGATAAGAGTCTCACAGACTTTCCTGCCTAAGCTGGCTTTGAACCATGATCCTCAGCCTCCTGAGTAGCCATGATGACAGGTGTGCGCCTCCGGCACCCAGCTTGTACTGATTCTTTTAGTCACATCATGCCAGGCAGCTGCTTCATGCTCTGAAGCTGTGGGACAGGTGGCGTTGGCACTGTAGATAGCCCTGATTCATGACCATCGCTCTGATCAGCGACACAGACAACTTCCTAATGCTTCAATGCACATTCAGGAAAAAAAAAAAACACTTAGATGCCCAGGTCAAGGAGACATCAATGCACATTTGATTCATTTCTTATTTTAAATGTGAAAACAGCCAACGGGAAATTTCTAAAACTGGATATGCAAATCTTTTCTCTTCCTCCTGCTGTCTGACAGGTTTTATTTTTTTAAGACAAAAAGAATTAAAACAGTCTATTGCACTGAACAAAATGCATTGTACCCATCAACTGACATGTTGAATTGAAACCTTTGTACAACTACATAAAGACAATAAAAATGAAAGTTAAAAAATAGCAGTCCATTGTAATGGAAGAAAACCTAACAAAAGAATATTATATAATATATACTGTATAAAATATACTATATATAGTATAGTATATTATATAGTATAGTATATTATACATAGTATATATTATATATAGTATATTATATAGTATATTGTAATATACATTATATAATAGATATATATTATATATTTATGTATATTATGCAGTGTATATCATATGTCATATATTACATGATATATTATATCATAGTAATTATATATTTTATAATATATGCTGCATATAATATACAGATAGTATATTACTAGAAACCATATTATTAGAAACCAATATAAGAAACCATGTTGTGGTTACAGTATATGGTATGCATGTTTATATACGGTATATTACATATACATTATATAGCACAGTATATATTATATAATAAAGTATATATTATATAATAAAGTATATATAATATATACAGCATATATGTATATAGTCTACCTAGTATAATGTTCTCTATACCGACTGTGTCTAAAGTATATACATATTATAGACGGTGACCCAGATCCAAGTTACTTTCACCCAGCCCACCCTCTGATGACACATGCACCCAGACAAGTTGGGGTGTACCCGGGATGCAGCCTTGCTCCTCTGGCCGCCTGGAAGGGCCCCAGCCTCAGCATGGCCCCTGCCGGGAGCGCACACCCGTGTGGCTCAGTCCACATGGTTAAGAGCAGCCATTGTCCCTTGTGAGAGCCCCTGCCTCCAAACAGCGTTCACAGCTAGGAAGAGAGGGCGCATTGTGATGCGGTGTTCACCAGCTATCTGTTCATCCACAGCATGTTTCACGTGGCTCGGACGAGCTCATGAGACGAGGTCCCTACCCAGAGACCGTCACGGTGCAGCAGGCCAGAGACGGCAATTATTAGCAACCCTGCTGTGGTCACACGTGGGCCACAGAGTTCCCGGATGAGCTCTGTACCTCAGGGCTCTTTTGTGGTACAGGAAAGGGGATGCAGAAGGCCCTGCCGGCTGCTCTGGTGGGAGAATATAGTTCCCCTTCGGATCTGGCCACTTCTGGGAAGGACAATGTTTCTAGAAGGTTCCCAGACGTGACTTCAAATATTGACGTCACATTTCCTGTACATGTGTCCTCTTGAGTCAGTTGTTGGGAGAGGTGCCAGTACTGGGGCTTGAACTCAGGGCCTGAGCTCTCTTTGCTCAAGGCTAGTGTTCTATCACTCCAGCCACAGCTCCACTTCCACCTTTTTTCTGTGTATGTGGTACTGAGGAATCGAACCCAGGGCTTTATGTATGCTAGACAAGCACTCTACCCCTCAGCCACATTCCCAGCCCCTTTCTAGTATATTCTATTTGTAGATGTTTTACAGTGTTCCACTGAAATTTTACAAGCCAAGTTGAAAGTCTACCAGAAGAAATTATGTGTCTATTATTTCACAACGTGGCCGGGCAGCATTTCATACCCTTGTGGTCCCTTGAGGGGGGAAAGGGCTGTGCTTGCTGTGGATTCAAGACTTAAATGCTAGCCAGACACCAGTGGCGCACTGCTGTCATCCTAGCTACTCAGGAGACTGTGATCTGAGGATCGCAGTTCAAAGCCAGGCCGGGCAAGAAAGTCTGCGAGACTCTTATCTCTAATTAAGCACAGAAAAAGCCCAAAATGGAGCTATGTGGTTCAAGTGGTAGAGCACCAGCCTTGAGCAAAAAGAGCTCAGGGACTGCGCCCAGGCCCTGAATTCAAGCTCCAGGACTGGTTTAAAAAAAAAAAAAGGCTTAACTGCTTTTTATTGTTATTTATTATTTATTTTGCTGTGTGTACAAATACCCCCCTGAAAGTGGGAATAGATAATGTCTGTTTTTAATAGAGCTTGGCTTTCCCTTTGTTTTTGGTTTTTGGATTTGGGTTTTTTGTTTTGTTTTTGGTTGTTTTTTTTTTTTCCATTCTTGGCTTTTGGACCTTTC